GCACTGGGGGCCAGACCATGGGCCGTGGCAGAGAAACTATGCGATTACTGCTGGCGGAGGATTGAACCCGAAAGGACAGAGACCCAGGTTGCAGAGACAATCGTCCTATAACAGTTTCTACAAATCCCCCCCCCCCAAGAGGTAAAGGGGTGTGTGATGACATCACCCAACATCCCTCAATGAAACCATGTCACTGATGGAAGACTACTTGTCAGCGAAAGGCCCAGGAGCGAGGAACAGGGGAACAAGGGAATACCTAGTCCTGAGACCTAGGGCTGGAGGGCCCACCCACCCATGGGAAGCTGGGAGCCCCAAGATCTACGTACCATCACCACGGCCTGGGGAAGAGAGGAGGAGATGACAACCCTGGGACCGGGGGACGAATGCCCAGCTTATCAATGAAGAGGAAGAGAAGGTCAGAAAACTGGGAGGAGCCAATCATAACTGGTGTTATGAGTGTGGACAAGAGGGGCACTTTTGACACGACTGTCCATAAATGGACTGTAGTTAAGGGCAAGTGCTGAAAGTGGGGCATAGAACCAGGGGAAGGGACACAGCTAAAGTGTTAACCAACCACATGGTAGAGGGGACCCTGGTCACTGCCCTAAATGATTTGGGGGTGCAGACAGGCTTTGGTGCAGGCCGACCTGGTAGAGTCCCCCGAGCCTGAAGGAGCCCCCATCCTAATGCAATGTGTACACAGAGGTTGGAGTCCCCCGAGCCTGAAGGAGCCCTCATCCTAATGCAATGTGTACACAGAGGTGCAGTCATCAGTGACACGGCTTCACTGAGGGATGTTGGGCATTGCCTTACCCCCAAGAGGAAGAGGTTTGTTGAGTGGGGGTGGCCCCACGACTGGCTTATCCCCTGATTTTGGGCCGGGATTGGCAGGAGTTTCATAGAATAATCAAAGAATGGAGTCAACAAGAGCTGCCGAGGGTAAGGGGGCAGGTGACAAGGTGGGGGTTAATTGCCCAAGGGAACGAAAGGAACCCAGAGGGAGGCTCCACCACCACCTGGGAGCCCATCCCTAACAGGACTCAGAGACCAGGATATAGAGCAGCACTGAAGCCAGGTGGCTGGATACTGGTGGAGACTTCCTGCGAGAACAGCGGGAAGATGCCACGCTAAGTTGGGCCTGCGAGAAAGTGACCTAAGCCAGGGCAGTGGATACCACAAGGGCCTCGGTTTGAGGTATGTGAGGATTGTCTATAACCCCCAGAGCCGGGGGGAGGTGTGGCAGCTGCTGGTCCCAACAAAATGGGTGTATTAAAGTTGCCCAATGCAAACCCTTGGGCCGGACACCTAGGCAGGGAAATACGTTACGACGGGTGACCCAGAGGTTCTGGGATGCACCGTGAGGGGCGTGATGTCTGTGAATCCTGCCCGGAGTGCCAGCGAACAAGCCCAAAGGGAGGACCAGAGGCCCCTTTGATAGTGTTGTCTGTGGTGGGAGTTCCCTTCGAGCAAATCAGTCTTGATTTAGTAGAACCCGGCATATCCTCGTGGTGGTAGACTATGCAACCAGGTATCCCAAGGCTGTTCCTCTGTAGACGACCACCAGACCCACCCTAGCAGCCGAACTGTTAAAGATTATTTCTCAGGTGGAGATACCCAGGAAGATTTTTAATGATCAGGTGACAAATGTGTCATCTAAGTTGATGGCAGAATGATGCCGGTTACTAATATCAGGGCCCTAAGGGCCATGGTTCACCATCCCCAGACAGATGGGCTAGCAGAGCGTTTTAATCAAACCCTACAGGCAATGCTGCGCAGGTTTGTAGAGGAGGATCCCTGGACAAGCTGCTCCCGGCGCTGCTGTTTGGCACTGAGAAGTTCCCCAGGCTTCTACGGGCTTCTCGACAGCTGAGCTCCTTTAAGGGAGGCATGCTCGCAGAAGACTAGACCTATTGAAGGAAACCACGTCCGCCTCTTGTTACTGTCTAAGGAGTCTAAATTGCTGGCAAAGTGGCAGGGCCCTTTTGAGGAGATGTGACACCATGGACCACGAGGTGTGGCTGACGGGAAGGAAGAGGGGTGTCCAGACCTACCACATTAGCCTCCTAAAGAAATGGAAGCTGTGAGAGGGCCTATTGAATACCCTGTACCCACCCAACCAGAGTTTGGGCCGTGGGATTGAGGATTCCCTGATGCCAACCCCGGCCGTGATGGGGGAAAAATTAGACGCGGAAGAACAGAAGGAGTTACATCAACTAGTCCGGATCTTCTCACACATGCTCTCCGGCCGATCAGGATGGACCAGCGTGACTAGTCACCACATAGCCATCCTGCCAGAAGGTACATGACCATCATTGGCTCCTCCCAGGAAGATGTGGGGGATCATCCAATGGGAACTCCAGACCATGTGGGAGATGGGGGTGGTAGAAGAATCTCGGAGCAAGTGGAGAAGTCCCATTGTGCTGGTTCCAAAACTGGGCAGTACCGTATGGTTTTGTAGTGACTTCTGTAAGGTGAATGCATTTTGATGCCTATCCTATACTGAGGGTTGATGAATTTCTGGAGCACTTGGGTAATGCAATGTACACCTTGCAAAGGGTACTGGCAAATATCCTTGGCCCCACTCTCCAAGGAGAAGACGGCCTTCCCCATCCAGTTTGGACTGTACCAATTTGTCACCGTGCCCTTCAGTCTACATGGAGTTGCCGCAACCTTCCAATGGCTGATGGACCGGCTGTTACAACCTCACCACCAATATACAGTGGCTTATATGGTCCATATAGTGATATACAGCCAGACATGGGCCGAAGATGTTCAACACCTAGAGGTTGTACGAGCGTTGAATGAAGCCTCACTCACAGCTAACCCCAGGAAATGCCATCCAGGACAACGTGAGGTGACAGACCTTGGCTATACCATAGGACAAGGCACTCTGCTCCCACTGGCACATAAGTCACAGGCCTTAAAGGAGTGAGCAGCCCCCATGACAAAGAAGCAGGTATGACAATTCTTGGGGTAGGTGGGGTACTACCACTGCTTTGTCCCGGACTTCATGATCCTGGTGGCTCCCTTGTCCAACTTGATCAAGAACTCACAACCCAGAAAGGTTCAATGGTTGGCTGAATGTGAGCGAAATAGTTTCCAAGGGAAGAGAAGTACTCCACGGGGGAAGAGGAGGCCCTAGCGGTAAAATGTGTCAAAGTCAGACACAGGACTCCCAGATTTGTCAGACCGCTCTGTTTATTAGCAAAGCCGCTCTGCTAATGCACCCAGAAAATGTGAGTCCCATAAAAGGTTCAAACTCCTTGATTTCTACAGTCCAAAGAAAGCCAAGTTAACAAGATTAAAAGAGAGACAAAACTTCACATGATTAGTATGAGGCCAGTCAAGTATCTTCATTTCCACATCAAGCACACAGCAATCTCCTGTCCATATCTCTGGTTATCTCAATTGCTTTCTGCGTAACACCTACTGTTCCTTTTCCTGTTACTCCAGGCATACCTGACTAGCACTCTGATCTGCATACCTACAAACGACATTAACAACATTAACATAATTTCCTCTTTCCTGTTCAGAGACAAACAGTGTTCCTTCAACTTATTCAATTATTACAGTATAATTCATCTTTCTCTTACAATATAATTCTTTCTACTTTCACAATTTCTCCTTTTGGTCAAGCCATGCCTATGACCAACAATTACTGGGTTCCACACATTAACCATTCTTTCTCTCTCTGTTCATCAGTGATATTTAAAATAATCAGATTAGCACTCTGGTTAGGGGTAGCTACCTATGTGATGTGTCTTGCACAGTTTTGGATACAACACAAGATTAACTGAAAACATACAAAAATCATTAAAATCCCAAATAGGATAGTCAGGACTCTCTGAAACAACCAGTTTCTATGCCAGAGAAATTGAACAAGTTACTTAGCCATTTCCACAGGGAACTTGGCTCTTCATGGGGAAGGTATGCAATCTGTTCCAAGTAGCTGGTGCAATCTATTACATCATTGGTGTTGTCAGGTATATATACACAACATTTTTTGCCAATGAGAGCACAGGTCCCTCCTTTTGCTGCCAGAACTATATCCAATGCCTGACGGTTTTGGAGGGCCACCTGTTGGATTGCTCCTGTTTCTTTGGCCAGGGCCCTTAAACTTTCTCCGATTTCATTTGCCATGATTTCAACTACTGCTTGTAACCTCAGCAGTCTTTTTGCATGATGTATTACCACCAATAGCCTCTTCCCAAGTTAAGGGGCTTATGTGATTCACATACCATTGGGTATCTGACAAGTCCCTTCTTTTTCGCCTAAAATTATGGAGGCGTTCTCATGGGAAGGACTCTAACACTCGGAATTGTGGGAAGAGTTGGGCAGGATAACAGATACCTGACCAGTTAACTGGTAATGCAGTATAGGCTTTTGTCCCACAGACCCAATGATGCCCTATCAAAGCCGGGAAGGGTCGGTTGCACCCCTTTGACATATAGGTGTCTACAAAGGAGGAGTAATACCCCGAAGGGCACACGGTGATTCTCTTTACGGGGAGTGGTGTTATTTGCGTGGCATTGAAAGATTGTACTGTTCTCACGAGGGTAGCTGTAGGGGGAGCATGAGAGTGATTTCCCTGTTTGATCCCAGGTTGAGAAAAAATTCATATCTCCATACCCGGTCTGCCATTCTCCAGTCTTGTTTGAATAATCCCACACACCATTGGTTACAATACGCTGGAGACAACTGCTCCTCCCCAGATTCAGCCCTGTCCCATTACACACCCAACACCAGTGACCTTTTCCTCCTCCATACTTATCCATTTAGATACATTTATTCCCATTGCTTCCCAAGTGTCATTACTGTTCCATGTCTTGTTAAACGGATGAGGCCCTCCAGTGAGGCCTGGGGAATTAAGTGGGATTGCCAAGACAGGAACCATCTTGTGAGTGGGCTGGGATGTGGCTGCAGACCCAGCAATTAGAGATATTAAGAGTCATACTTGCTGGTGGATAAAAGAATTGTCATTGTCATTGTGGATTCCCCAGATCTTAAGACACCAGTGGCCGAGGAACAGGCCCCACCAGAGACACATGTTGGAGGCAAGACTTTTGGTTCTGACAACCTCATCTGAGGGAACCGCAGTCACGGTTTTATGTCCACCAGGCAGCAGGCGCTAGGCTTGCTACTGCTTCTTCCCAGGCTTTGCTTTTGGTCGTCATCTGCTTCCGGAAACCCTTACACGGACGTAGGTTGTAAGGTATTGCAGGCTGTTCCTCTACGTCTTCTTCTGGGGTCAAAATTGACTCTGCATGGTCCTGAGGCAATGATTGGTCCACTGGGGGTGGTGTCTTCTTACCCTGCAAAACATGTATCCATGCTGCGATGCCGGATAGCTTAACAGCCATCTGGGTAGTGAGCAGCACCTGATGCGGGCCCTTCCACCGGGGCTCCCTTATTCCTTAGGCTTTATTTTCCGAAAGATCCGCGTCTAGACTGGCGCTTTTTTTCCGGCAAAGCTCTGAGCCGGAAAAAAAAGCGGCAGCCATTTTTATGCAAATGAAGTGGGGGGGCTTTAAATCCCCGCTTCATTTGCATTTGCGATGTGTCTAATTTGCATCCCTTTTATGGAAAAGGGACGCAGTCTAGACACAGCCCTGGGGAAGTGTGGTCCATGTGCACTGCTGCCCCTTGTAAGAAAAGGCAAAAAGGTCTTGGGACTTAGGGTGAACCGGGACAGAAAAGAAAGCAGAGCACAAATCCACAACAGTAAAATGAGCCAGAATCGTAGCTGGGTTAGGGACTACAGGAAAGGTGGGTATGACAATGTTAATGGCTCGAAGATCCTGAACAAACAACCATGATTTCCCATCAGCTTTCAAACTGGGAGGAGAGGGGTGTTACAGGGGCTGGAACAGGGGACAATAATGCCTTGTTCCTGCACGGCAGACATGACCAGAGCTGGAACCTCTAAATCTCAAAAACCCAATCTCACGACCTCTTCTCCGACCTCATCCTTGTTCTTGGTACCCTCCCCGTTCCCGGTACTGTCTGCCCTGCCCTGAATAATGCTGTATTTGCAGAGCCATTAACTTTTGTGAGGACTGCTCCTCTTTCCTTTTAGAGTGCAGTGGCAATGCTCTGCCACTGCTTGCAATTTGTCCATGGTCTTGGCCTCCCATCCAACACTTATTTGCTTTAACATACTGCATATACTGCTAATAGCAGGGAGGAGGCCATTAACAAACGCATGCGCCAGGGTGCCCTGTCCATTTTCACCTGGTTGCTGTATACCAGAATGTTGCAGAAAAAAACCATCAGTCAGTCGGGTGTGATAGTTGCCCGGGCTTTCTCTCTGTTTCTGTTTATAGCAATGTATGGCCGTCCAGTTGGTTTTTGGAGTCCATACTTGGGAAATGGCCTCATGCAGGCGCTTAGCTTGATTCTTACATTTGTTCTGGTAGGCAGCTCCGGGACCAGTGTCTGGCAAATTAGAATGGTGCTCAGAGATGGGCCAATTTGCTGTGAGGAGCCATTTTTTTTGTGCTTGCTAGGGGTTACAAGTAGCTTACACACTTGCAGGAGGTCTGCCTCAGAGGGTTCATAGGCGTTTCACACTAGCAAAAATTCCTCTGCAAATTTGGTAGGGTTTTCCTGGGGCTTTCAAAATAATCCTTAGAAAGGGTTGACAGTTCTATTGGACTTAGATTTATAGAAGACAAGGGAAAATGTTAATATAGTGTAAAGAGGAGAGTGACAGATTAAAGATATACATGCTTTATTTACTGTAAAAACACAGATGAGATGCAACATCTATGGTCTGTTACTCACTTTAGTATTCAAGTACCAAACTGTCTAGTATTAAGATATTGTTGGCGGCTATACTTGATTGCTGAATAATGCTGAAGATTTTTGTAAAGCTCTAAGAACATGTGAATACCAAGTTGTTCCACATTGTTTTTCCATTCAAGACTATCTAGAGGAGGAACATGCTATAAACAGAGGAAAGTGAGAATTCTTTATCTCATCACATTCAGCTAATTGATTTTTCTAAGGTCATTCTGAATTCTAGATCTTCCCTGATACAAAGGAATGCTATATACCAGGGGTGTCCAAACTTTTTTCAAAGAGGGCCAGATTTGATGAAGTGAACATGCGTGAGGGCCGACCATTTTGCCTGACATTCTTTGAACCATTAAAATTAAATGCAAATTAACTATTTTATGCAAAGTTTATTGCAAACGGCATACTTTTCATTTCGTCACATGGATGACAAATCTAAACAGGTGTTAAATCACTCTGCCTTTCATATCTGAAGGCCAGATGAAAAAAAAATCCAGGAAGCTGAAATATATGTCAGGAACATTGTAAAGTACATTACATATTATTGGTAATAAAGGTTGTCTGTCAACTTTTAAGTTCAAAAAATATGAACAGGAACATAACACCAAGTATACATGTTGTGTCCAAATATATTTATAACTGATTTAGACCAACTGACATTAACTGAGATTTTACAATGTATTCATCTCAATACATATGGATTCGTTGGGGGCCTTAAAAGATAGATATTGCCAAATTACCTGTGGGGCCGTATTAAACCGGAACACGGGCCGCAATTGGCCCGCGGGCCGGACTTTGGACATGCCTGCCCTAGGGTCAATCTAGACCATTTTTCCAGAAATGTACAGGGGTCCGGACCCTTTCTAAAATATATAAACTGAGCCGGGGTCCCTTTAGGCTGCGATTGTGCAGATTCTAATCACACAGACCATGGGGACAGGAGCCCCTTGGTCGGCCAATCCCCGGACATGGACGGCTCCCAGACTCACTCACACCATAGGGAAGACAGATAGACACAGAGACAAGACAGTATCAGTCCGGACACAACAGAAATAATTACCTGACCAGAGTCCTGATGTTAGATCCCGGAATCCCTACTAGAACAGAACGGGAACCAGCAGTTTCAATGGCGTAGACTTTGCTGTGGTTGTTCACCTTTCCATTCTGGCAGAGGACTGCTCGGGCCAAATACCCAGGTGCCGGCTGCCATGGTCATCCTGCAAGACGGTCAGGGATCATATAGCCTCAGCGAAGATGGTTGCCATCTAGATGGGACCCCCAAATTGTCAAAGTCACACACAGGACTCACAGATTTGTCCAACCGCTCTGTTTATTAGCAAAGCCGCTCTGCTAATGCACCCAGAAAATGTGAGTACCATACAAGGTTCAAACTCCTTGATTTCTACAGTCCAAAGAAAGCCAAGTTAACAAGATTACAAGAGAGGCAAAACTTCACATGATTAGTATGAGGCTAGTCAAGTATCTTCATTTCCACATCAAGCACACAGCAATATCCTGTCTGTATCTCTGGTTATCTCAATTGCTTTCTGCCTAACAGCTAATGTTCCTTTTCCTGTTACTCCAGGCATACCTGGCTAGCACTCTTATCTGCATACCTACAAACAACACTAACAACATTAACATAATTTCCTCTTTCCTGTTCAGAGACAGTGTTCCTTCAACTTATTCAATTATTACAGTATAATTCATCTTTCTCTTACAATTTAATTCTTTCTACTTTCACAAATGGGCCGTCGATGCTCTGAGATATTCCCTGCTGGGCGACCCATTCCAACTAGTCACCGACCACGCCCCACTGAGATGGCTACATAACATGAAAGAGACCAACCCATGGATAACGAGATGGTACTTGTCCTTGCAGCCCTACAGCTTAAGCATGGCTCACCAGCCCGGTAAGGCGCATACCAATGCGGATTTCTTTTCCCGGGCCAGAGAGGTGGAACCCGGAGCAGAACAGGTGCCACATACCCAGTCAAGGGGGAGGGTGTATGACAGGGTGTATCAAGAGCAGGGAGGGAGCTGGTCCCAGCAGGCCGAAAGAGCCCCTCCCACACAGCCTGCTTGGGCATGCTCCTGGTGGCACCAGACTATAAAAGGCCCCAGAGAAGCTCAGTCGGGGGTGGCTGCAGAAGGGGAAGGAGGCGCTGCGGGAGCCGCATGGAGGAAGAGTGCCCAGACCTTCCAGCTGCAGCAAGGCCGGGAGGTGCTACCTGCAGGGTCGTTGGATCGCGGAGAGACGATGCAGGAGACGTCCGCCAGACTCCTGTAGGTAGTAGCTCAGGGTGGGGAGTCGCCCCAGCGCTCAGTGCTGCAGGATTCCCTGCTGAGTGAGGCAGCGCCCCCAGCCACTGCCTATAGGGCCCTGGGCAGGGACCCGGGGGAGTGGGAGGGCCTGGGTCCCCCTGCGCCCTCCGTAGCTGGCTCAAGGGAGCAAACCGGGCCTACAGAATTGTGAACTAGGCCTCAGGGCTGTGTTACCCCTAGTCAGAGGGCATTGAGTAATGGACTCTGGACGCCAGACCATATTAACCCTGCTATAAGGGCCTGTGTGTGCACTTTGGCCTCTGGGCTGTATGATGCCCTTCAGAGGGGATGCATGGAGGGACTCTGGCGGGTAGGCTGCAAGGGGGATTAAGCTTGAGGGGGGGTTCCCCCAGAGAAGGCCATCCCTCGACAGTGGTGGTAAAAGTACCCCAAAAGTGACTTGAGTAAAAGTACAGCTACTGTGAAAACAATGTAATTAAGTAAAAGTCAAAGTGTCCTTCTGGAAAACTACTTGAGTAAAAGTATGAAAGTATCGCATCTTAATTGTACTCAGGTATCCAGAAGTAAAAAGTAGCCGTCCTATGGACATCTAAGGTTAAACACCCACGTTATCACTGGACGCCATTATTTTTCACACACACTTTTTATACACACCCACACATATATGTAATATATACATATATATAAAGAGAGAGAGAGAGAGAGAGAGCATATGTAAGTGTGTGTGTATATATATGTGTGTGTGTGTGTGTATTATATACCATACACGCACACACTGTACATTTATATTTCAAATTGGAAATGTAAATGTAGTTGCAGTCTTCATTTATGAAGCTGAAGAGTGACCAAATTAAATACAGAAATGTATTACAGAATTGTATTTATTACAGATTTGTATTTACAGATAGCAAATTACAGAAACGTATTTATTGTGTCCACCTTCACAAACATTCAGTTCTAGCATTTTAGCATTGCAATGGTTAATCACAGAAAGGTTTGTCCAGTAGTTGATTTTCAAAAAGATCAGAGTCCAGCCTTGCTCTCCTAGGACAAACTATGAGTCCAGCAACACGGAAGAGTCTCTCACAGGCAGGTGAGGCAGGCAGAGGTGTGTTGGCCTTGACTCACAACTCCCTGATTGTAGGTAAGGACCGCAACAGATCCATGGTGGCTGCTGAGCAGGCTAAATAGTCGTCAAGCTGCCTTTCAGTTTCATTAATGCAAGAGGACTTCATTGAGGCAAAGAGCTGCTGTGGGGTCCTTTCCTGCAATCAGGGGGATGAGCATCAGGGCCAGCTCACCTCTGCCTGCAAGGTGATATTTTCTGTCTTATCTAGTCCTTTCCTAATGGTTCCCCATAGTCTGTTAGTTTTTTAGTTTTTAGACTGCACTGCACATTGAGCAGATGTTTTCAGGGAACTGTCCACAGAGATTCCAAGATCTCTGCCTTGAGTGGGAACAGCTATTTTAGATCCCATCAGTTTTGTGCATAGTTGGGATTAGATTTTTCCAGGTTCAATACGTTACACTTATTAACACCAAATTTATTCTGCTATTGTGTTTCCCAATTACCTCGTGTCATGAGATTCCTGTGTAGCTCTTTGCAGTCAGCTTTGGACTTAATTATGTCAAGTAATTTTGTAGCATCTGCACATTTTGACATCTCATCTTCTTTTCAAGGACATTTAAAAGTTTAATAGTACTGGTCCAAATACAAATCCCAGCAGCACAACCCTTATTGTGACTCCTCCTGCCACCCAACTTTTAATGTTTTCATGATGATCTAACGATCCCTTAATGACTCGAATGACCAGTCCTTTGTTATTCTTAATCACCCTGCCTCCCTCGCTTTTTAACAGACTCCCCGCCCCTAAGGCAAAGCTGCAAGCGCTCAAACTCTCCTGCAGTTGAAGCTCCTTTTGGAGCCAGGCCCTGAAGCTTTAGGGGTTCAGACTTGAGACTTAGCCCCTGAAAATGGCACCCATGCGCATGTGGCTGTGCTGTAGCAAATAGAATGCACACGTGTCAGTGGGGTGCTGAAAAGAGCAAGTAACTAAGCGCTTCTGGAAGTGGTGGTGGAGTACAAAGTATTTTCTACAAAACCTACTTGGATAAAATTCGAAGTATCGCAAAAATAAATAACTTGAGTAAAGTACAAATACCGAAAAGACGGACGTGAGCAGTGTAACGAAGTATTTCTACTGAGCTACTTTCCACCTCTGCCCCTCGACAGGGACATTTTTGCCGAAAAGACGGACGTGAGCAGTGTAACGAAGTATTTCTACTGAGCTACTTTCCACCTCTGCCCCTCGACAGGGACATTTTTGCCAAGCTCGCAAAGGCCATGCAGGGGAAACGATACGCCAGGGCCGCCTTGCAGGGCTGCCTGAAAACAAAGGGGCTGAGGCAGTCCCACCAGAAGGCAAAGCAGGCAAATGGTGATCTGCATCATTGCTGCAAACATGCCACTTGTATAAGGGGCTGCGTGTGATCCTGGGGTGGCAGGGGGCACCCAACCAGCTTTGCAAGGGCTGATGGCTTGCCAGTGCTTGAATACACTTTCCTGCAGGGTGGGAATCTTTTGCCCTACCTCATGGCCCAAATAAGACACCTCTGCCATCCCCACTTTGTACTTCTCAGCCTTTACAGTCAGCCTGGCCTCCCGCAGCTGCCCAGCACTTGGCTGGCCTGGGACACGTGGTCCTCCTAGGTCTGGCTAAACACACAAATATCATCAATGCAAGCCAGGGCCAAACTCTCCATCCCCTGCAGCCACTGGTCCAGCAGGCACTGGAAGGTGGCTGGCGCCCTCTTCAGGCTGAAAGGCAGGAACAGAAACTCCTAGAGCCCCAAAGGGATGAGAAAAGTAGATTTCAGCAAGGAGCTGAACTCTGGTCCCAGAGAATAGATCCACCGTGGGATCATCTCCCTGCCCCTATGTATGATTAGTACCAAATTCTCTTCATCCCAGGCCTTCCCCACCCTTTGGCAGGAGTTGCAGGACTGGCAGTACTGCTGGGCAGCATCATAGACTTCAGGCCAGTAAAAGTTTTGGAGCAGCCTCTGCCTGGTGCACTGGATCTCTGGTGTCCTGGGAATGGGATGTCATGGGCCAGCTTCAGCAGCCTGCGGCAGTACTTTTGGGGAACCACCATCTGCTGCCGGACCCCCCACAACTCCGCTTCCCTTGGAGGGGCCCATTCCTGGTCCAGGAATCCCCTGTCCCACAGGAACCTCTCCTAGCAGCCTCCCCCACAGGGGCTGATCTGCACTGAGGCCAGCCCGGTCCCTCGGCTTCTGGAACTTGGCCTGGAATTATTTGTCCGGTGAAGGGATGGGGACCTGTCCCCTCTCACTGCCAGGGCAGCCAGGACTGAATTCTCTCAATAAGCCCTGCTGCAGAAATTTTGTCCTCACAGCGAAATCCATTAGAAACAAAAATCGAAAGGTTCATTAATAAAAGGACAGAAGGAAACCACGAGAATTAGAATTCTTACGGAATCAAATTACACGCACCCGTTGCAACGTGCTTGGCACAGGCTTGCAGCAGGGACGACAGAATCTGCTGCCTTAGATTATGTTCCTGGACTACGTCTTCTGTAAGGATGGGCCATCAGTCCTTCTAGGCTACAGTTCAGAGCAGAGACCTTCCAGAGGTGATTGGCCGGAGTGAAGACAGGATTGAAGACAAAGTGGAGGAGCCCTCAGTGCCCTCCTTATACCCTTGCCCACATGGAGGGAATCCCATTGTTCTCACTGTGAGAAAGTCTGTCCCAAGGTGGAGCCTGTCACATGGGCAAGTCACCTGACCAGGCAGGACCAGTCCTTTTTAGGTAGCAGCCATGGCTCCCATGCTGGTCTGAACATTCCCAGCAAAGCTGCTCAGATGTGAATCGGCACCACTCAAGGTGCATTGTCAGTCAAGTGCCGCTGGTCACCTGGCTAGCAACCTTCCACCCGCTGATGTCTCCCTGAAGCAAACATGGGAAATACAAGTACAGAGCTGATGCTCATCACTTCAGATTGATACCTGCATGGGAAAAGCATGCACAGAGCCATCTGAGAATCATCAGCTTTTCATAGACCTGCCCCCCCCCCTGAACAAATTTTGGTACAAACAGAAAACAGAGGTTGCAAAAATGATCTGTGCATGCACATCACAACCCAATAGTGTCACACTGAGTCGGAGGGATTTATTCGGGGTTTTGGTCCTTATTGGACATTGTGTCCCTGGGTGCTGTCAAGGCCTCAGAGCTGAGCTGAGCTGGCTCAGCATCTGTGTTGCTCTGCTGGGGAGGGGGTTTGTTATGCCAACTCTGTGCATTAGTTTCTGGTCCAGAACAGGATGGGGGGGTTGCCCCAGAGGGCCGGTTGGTGGGCTAAAAGGCTGGATCAGCAATTCAGGTGACAGGCCCCATAAGATCTCTAGATCGACTCCAAGAGAAGGTCAAGGGACCCCCTACCCACCTACAGCCGGGTTTGACTGGTTCCCTCCTAACTGCTGGCTCCCCCTGCAGGTCTTCGAGGGTGAGCGCGCCATGTCCAAAGACAACAACCTGCTGGGCATGTTTGAGCTGACAGGCATCCCGCCCACCCCACGCGGGGTGCCCCAGATTGAGGTGACCTTCGACATTGACTCCCGCGGCACCCTCAGAATCTCGGCCGTGGACAAGAGCATGGGGAAGGAGAACAAAATCACAAGGGTAAGAACCCAGGCATCCAGCCCCCAAACCTGCTCTAACCAATAGACCCCAAAGCCTGGGAGGGAACCCAGGAGTCATGGCTCCCAGTCTCTCACATCCACTAGACCCCCTCATTGAGCCAACAGGAGATTCCAGGCATCCAGGGCCCCCGTGATGAGCTCTTCCCCACCAGGCAGCGCATGGTGCAGGAGGCGGCGCAGTACAAGGCGGAGGACGAGGTGCAGCGGGAGACGATCGCGGCCAAGAACTCGCTGGAGTCGCTGGCCTTCAACATGAAGAGCACGGCCGAGGACGAGAAGCTGAGGGACAAGCTGGCACCCGAGGACAAGTGCAATGAGGTCATCAACTGGCTGGACCAGAACCAGGTGAGGGGGGAGCTGGGCCTCTGGGCCAGAATGGAACTGGGGGCCGGGGAGGAGTGGGGTGTCAGGCCTGGCTGGAGGTAAATGGTAAACGAAGGGGGAACAAAAACTTGGGGAGAGACTCCGGAAGTCCTGGCCTCCAGCTCCACTTACTGTAACCACTAGACCCCACTGCCCTGCAACAGCTGGGGAAATAATTCAGGGTCCCCGCCTCAATACTGCTAGAGAGTCTCAGAGCTGGGGCTGAGCCTCCCCCCAGGAGTGAGAGAGGAGCAGTGGGGGCTCCCTGGATCACTCTGTTCCCTGCCCCCGCAGCAGCTGGGAAGGCCTGTGCCCGCACCTGGGTGCCTCTCCCACCGGATGGCAGCAAAGAGCCGTGCCTGGCCTTACATGGGGTTGGAACCCAGTGGGTGGGAGGGAGCTTGTTGCAGAGGCTGAAGGTGTGTGCCTAGGCCTGGGGCAGCTCCCACCTGCAGGCAGCAGCAGTAGAGCAGTTAGCTCGGTGGAACTGGTGAGGGCGTGAGTGCGAGGGCATGTCGGTATGGGCTGGTGCAATGCTCACCTGACATGCTGATTCACTGCAGGCAGGTTGCATCTTCCAGGGCCTGAGATGGGATTTTTGGGGGCTGGCTGGAGTTGGGCCTTTCCTTTGCTTTTCCCAGTAACATCTGTGCTCTGTCCCCCCCAGATGCAGTGAACGGGTCTTTGAGCAACCCCTCTTTAGTGCAGCATCCCAAAGAGAGGCTGAAAAAGCTGCACTACCTGGGTGGAAGGAGGTTCCCTCTCCCCCTCCCAGCAGGGCAGCTGAGCAGCCCCCCAACCTCCCACCTGGAGTGAGAAGGGGCCAGTGGAGCTAAAGGGGGCAGCCACTTTGCCTGGCTCAAACGGGACTGATGGAGACCATCCCCCCAATGGCTTCTCCCCTACTGCCAGTCTGTGAGCACCCTGACCTCATGCTGGGGGCTGTGTGAGTCCAGCAAGGGACCGGGGGGTAGTTAGTGGGTGAGGAGGGGGATGGGAGCTGGGGAGGGGCCAGAACCAGCAGATGGAAGCCCCCTCCCCCCATCCCAGTGCACTGGGTGTGAATGGGGGCAAGCAGGTACTGGGGCTGGAGGGTCACTGGTGTAAATCAGCAGAGGGGTGGAGTCCTGGCAATGCAGCCTGTCCCAACCCGGCTCCTGCTTTCCTGACAAGGCCTGGGGAATATCCCAGCCAGCTGCGTGTTCTGGAGACACAGGCTAGAGCCAGGGACTGAGGTGGGTGCTGAGTGCAAACAGCCACAAGGGGGGAGCTACTGGAGGGGGCAGCAGCCTCTGGGACCAGGTTCCCCCTGACAGCCTGTAGGCCATGGGGACAATTTGGGGAGCTTTCTGCAATTGAGCACTGCCCCAGCCCCCTGCACCCTCGCCCTCTACTCTGAGCCCCCACATCTTCCGCCTCCTGCCTTGAACCCTTCACCTACTTCCTTGAGCTGCTCCCTACCTCCCAACCCACTGCTCTAAGCCACCCATCCCTGCCTTTCCTGGCCCTCCCTGTCAGAGTCGATCCTCTCTCCGGAACTCTGAGTGCAGAATGTGGGAGTCCCCAAGTGACCTTAAAATACCTTGTCTCTATAGGGTTAAAAGCTCCCGAAGGTCACAGATTCCCTGCCCTGGGGAGGTAGCTGCCACCAACAAACAAACAAACAAACAAACAAATCTTGTCTTCTTGTACCCAGAAAGAAAGTCCTCGGGAACTTTTTCCGGAGGGGTACCCCAAGCTCTGTTACTTGAAAAAAAGAAAATAAGATGTAATTGCTGATAGCTGATCTCTCCTAGGCAGGCACACACAGACCCCCCATTACCTTCCAGGACACAAGAATGAAATCACTGCCTTAAAAAAAGCAATTTTATTAACAAAACAAAAGGATATGCTTGGTAAAGCATATTAGGTTGCTAGGTGTAATAAAGCAACTGAGAAGGGAACAGATTAAACATGGAGGATTGTATCCCTGGGACTCAGCTTTAAAGTTACAATGCGGCCGGGGGGGGGGAGGAAAAAGGCACATGTGCTCAGCATAGAGAAGTTTAACCAAACCACAAACCAAAGACAATAATCTGATCACATCTAAATAAACATTTCCTATCTACTCACAAAACCTACTTCAGGGTCCAGTCCATTTCTATGCTGGGACTTTTTTATAGGCATGGTATTCCTACTCAGTTCAATATATCTCTCTCCCCTCCCTTTCAGTTCAAGGTTTAAACTCACACAAGGGAAAAGAGCAAGCTGGGTTCCTTTCAATTTAGATCTCAACACCTTTCATCATGTGCTATTCTGGCTCCCTGCCAACACCTCCTCGTTTCCTGAGTTTAACCCTTTAATCACTGAATGCTGGGATGCCCAGAAAAAGACAGCATGTCTCCTGTCCATCACACCTCCAATCTCTCACTCGCAGCATGAATATTTTTCATTGATTTCCCCTCTCCAAAATACTTCAGTTAAAAGTACTGAGCAATGCCGGTATGTCTCCTAATACTCTTTGTAAAAAATATGCTATGAATATGCCTAACTTGAATGGGTTTTATGCAAAACTTTTTGTGTAACCTATGTCTGGAAAGCTTGTAACTCCCTGAATGTGTATATTCTCTTTGTTTGCATGAGGATTTCAGATTCATTTCTGCCTGTGAAATGAGGAATAAGGACTGAAGGTTTATTGTGTATTCATGGTGGGAAAACTCTATTTCCAGCCCATCAATGGAAGACCAGGTACAGAGTTAACAGACCATTAGCATTATTCATCTTTGTGTGTCTCTTGGGCTATGTCTAGACTGCAGGCTTCTTTCGAAAGAGGCTCTTTCGAAAGCATCTTTCGAAAGAGCCTCTTTCGAAAGATCGCGTCTAGACTGCAGGCGGATCTTTCAAAAGAGAAATCCGCTTTTTCGAAAGAGAGCACCCAGCGAGTCTGGATGCTCTCTTTCGAAGACGGCCTCTTTACATTGAAGAACGCCTTCTTTCGAAAGAGGAACTTTCGAAAGAAGGCGTTCTTCCTCGTGAAATGAGGTTTACCGCCATCGAAAGAAAAGCCGCGTTCTTTCGAAATAATTTCGAAAGAACGCGGCTTGAGTCTGGACGCAGGGGAAGTTTTTTCAGGAAAAGGCTACTTTTCCCGAAAAAACCCCTGAGTCTGGACACGGCCTTGCTCTCCTTCCCTCTGTCTCAGGGACTCTCCAGGGCCAGGCCCTACCTGTCCCATGTGGCATTGGGAAATGGGTGTGGTCACAGCTCAGCCCCCTAGAAAGATCAGGACCAAAGAGCAGCACAGGGAATGTCCCCTGTCATGGGCTATCCCCCTTACGCTTCATGGAAATTGGCTTATGAATATGAATATTGTGACAGACGCAGACCAGCTGGCTGCTGCACTCTAACAGAGGGCAGGCATGCAGCGTGCGGGATAAATAGTTTTCTGAATAAGCTCCCAGAGTCTGCTCCCCTGTAATTAAGGCAGGCAGACACCTGGGGATGGTCAATAACTGGCCAGAAGGAACAGGCTAATCTGATACCCACAACCAATGAAAGCCTGTGGTGCTGCTTTAAAAGGTGTCCCCCAGGTAAGAAAGGGGGAAGGAGAAGAGGGACAGACAGAGGAGAAGTGTGTTCCTGAGAGAGGAAAGGTTCATTCACTTGCCAGAGGGAAGGTTCTAAGGGAGCGTTTGGGACAGTGGCCCAGTGAAAAGGCTGCTGTCTTGGGACTAGAGGGGAAATCAGAGCATTTGCCACTGCCTAGTGTCCCTGCTCTGCAGAGAGACCTGATTCTGAGAAAAGGAGGTCTAGAGTTATAGAGAGGTCTCCCCAAGCCTTGACTTTGCCCGTGATGAAAATGGCTCAGTATGCTATAACCCTGACCTCTTGCACAACGCACAGGGCAATGTGGAGGGTCCCAGCGAGCCTCTGCAGCACATAATAACCACCCAAATAGTGCAGGGCCCATGGGGCATGGACGGACCTTGGCCACGATATGTATAACTGGAAGATGCTTGATGCAAACTAGATCCTGCAAGATGCCATTTTGCTGCTCAGGAAACAGCCCTGACACTAGGTAGGTAGGTAGGTAGATAGGAAGGACGGACGGAAGGAAGGACGGAAGGACAGAAGGACGGAAGGAAGGAATTGGAGGCCCAGAGGGCAGCTCAAAAGCCTGAACTGGCTGCCTGGGCCTGAAAGAGGCAACAGCCCAACACAGCAGGATCCAGCTCCCCACAAATCCACACAAGGAAGCATTTCTTCCAAACTTATGAGGAATCTGCAGCCATGGTGAAACATCCCATCCCCTTTTGCAGACTGGGCCCCATCTCCTTGGATTCCTGAGGAGCCCACGGTGGCTGGGTGCGGCAAAGCGGCTCAGGTGATCCAGCTGGCAGATCTGGTAGATGAGTGAGTCAGGGGACAGGCATGGCAGGCCTTGAGGGACCTGCAAGCAGGTTGCTCAGGAACAGCTCCTGAATGTGGCTACAGACCTTGTGAAACTGTTTGTGGGATAAACAAAGGGAAGGAGCAGAAGCTCCTGCTGCCTGTGCTGATCAGTTTGAACAATCGCACCCCTGGCTGGGGTAAATCACAGGCAGGGGGTGTCAGATGGGTGGGAGGCAAAGGCCCCGCAGTGCCCTGGGAAGGAAGGTGGGAGGTGGCCAGGCCTTCTCCTCCCCCAATTCACTCCCCTGTTCCCGGCCCCGCAGCCCCTGCACAGCCAGAGGAGCCCAGATGGGCTGTCACTGGGTCCCACTGAGCAGGGGGAGCAAATACCCAGGTCTGAACGGAACCGGCAGCAGGTAACTTGTGGAAATGCTGCTCCCCAGAGCACGGGGGTCCCCAGGCAGTAGCCGCTCTGCACACTGGGTTGGGGCAGGTCACTGCACAGCCAAGCAGGGAGCGTCTGCCTGCTGCCCGAATGAACGGCCAGGAACCTGTTCTGTTCTCCCCCTCTGGGGCACCTGGCATTGGCCACTGGGCAGCCGGGACACTGGTCTGGATGGAGCTTTGCTCTGACCCAGCCTGGCTGTTCTTCTGTAGAACTCCAGGGCGAGGGACACGGGGGCTGAGATTTCTGTCGTCGGGAGCACCTGAGTAACAAGAAGAACATTCTGCCAGGGACACTGCAGAGCTGGGATTGGCTGGTGGACCTAAGATCCCTGCCCCTTTGGCTGCAGCACAGGTGGGAAGGAGCCAGGAACTCTACACTCTCTGCTTCTGGGGCAAGGCTGCACCCAAAATGTTTTCCGGCACACGGGCGACAGAGACCTAGAAGTCGGTAAACACTCCTGTGAATGGCATCACCGGGATAATGGCCCTCAGTGGATGTGTAAGCAGAGTGCAATAAAGATGTGAGGAATGCTGCCTTCGCATTGGACATGGCCCAGCTGTCTAGCTGGGATCTCACTGGGGGAGGAGTCCCGCCTCCCTAGGCTTTATGAAAAGAGGCTTCTGAATATGAATATGCCTAACTCGGAAACTTTATGAAAAACATATCATGCAACGTCTTCTCTTAGCTGGCTGCCCGTGTCATTCCCATATCATTCCCATGTTTGACATTAGCAATATGGAACACACACTGCGTGTACTGACCTAACTCTGCGAAGCGGGGCCAGTAGCACTACAGAAGGGAGACAGCGGCCGGTATCTGGGGACACTGCTCTGTGCATAGTCTCACTTCCCCTGGGAGCCTGGAGGGAGCTGAGTCTTGCTGGGACATGGGGCCAAGCATCTGCTTCCGGAGCCCCTTGTGGGGCATGGACATTCCCCTGGAAATGGGACAAAGGTTGAGCTGAGCATAAAGGGATCCCGCCTGGGGCAAAATCTCTCTCTAGGTGGGAAACTGGCCAATGGGGGCGGCCGCCAGACACCCAGAGACCCCAGATTAGCACCCAAGCTGCCTGCGGGAAACATCCAAGATTGAATGGGGGAGGATCAGGCCCAAGTTGGGAGGCTTCGTGGTTTGTGAAACAAGATGATCAGGACGACAGTTAGGGGATGGATTTCTATGGAACAAGTTTCTGAGGGTTTGACTCTTACCTGGCCAATGTGTTTTATTTTGCTTAGTAACTTTCTTTGATCTGTCTGTTACCACTTGCAACCACATAATTACAAACTTCAGTACCTAATACAAACACTTTTCTTTATTAATAAAGCCAGTGTAAGTAATTGTTCCTTGAGGGGGACGAGGACTGAGCATGTCTCTGATTCAGGGATAAGGGTGGAGCATGTTATGAGCTTGCTGTGTGTCAGCTTTATACAGAGTGGGGTGGATTTGTCTGGAGTTCTGGTCCATGGGGCTGTTCACCCGGGAGCTGGGATGAGTTCCTGTAACTCAGCCAGCCCTGAGCCAAGCCCGTGAGCGTCTGTGTCACTTCGCTGTGATTCCAACTCTGCCAGGGCTGGAAGAGGCCAGAGGGCCTGGCTCAGCAGTGCAGGGTGTAGGGGCGCCCCAAAGCCAGGCTGGGGGGCTGTGTGGTGTTTTCAGCCCATCAGTGGGTCTCTGTGACCCCTCTCTCCTTTCCTCCCTCCCTCACGTTATCATTCTGGCCACTCCCCACCTGCCCAGGCCAGGCTGGCTGGATTCCCCAACCCTGAGCCACCCGCCCACCTCCCTGATTTGCAGGGGGATACATCCGGCATCCATCCCTTCCCAGCTGAGTCACCCGGCTCTGGCTGTGCTCCTCTCCTTCTGCTGCCCTCGCTGCATTCACACACAGGGCGGTGCTAATTACCTGTTCACCCTTCACAGGCGCCATTCCATGTTTCTGGCAAATAGCTGGTTGGGTGCCCATGGTGGAAATGAGGGCTGAGCCAGTGACACCTGGGGAGGGGCAGGGCCCCTACATGGGTATTTATCAGTTGATAAGAGCTGGCTCCCAGGTGAGGGGGTGACATCTGCAGAGGTGACAGACACCGAGGTGAGTCGGGAACTCCAGAGAGACCTGGTCGGGGCGGGTTCGTGGGCAACGGGATGGCAGATGAAATTCAGGTTTGGTTGCGCGTTGGGGGATGGTGAGTTTGAAGCACCCAGGACTTGGCAGGTTCTAACTCAGCCGAGGGGAGCCAGGGAAGGGACCGCTGTAGAGGAGAAAAGCCAAGAAAGACGTTCGATTGCCAGAGGGGAAGGAGAACTACATGGAAATACTGCGGTGCCCTCTCCGGACCAGCAGGATGCTCTGGCCCTGGGGTGGGAAGTGCCGGTTGCCCCGTCTCAGAAGGGATAGTGCAGATCTGGAGCCAATGAGGATGGGGGAAGGGAAAACCGGCCCAGGGCACAGCCCTGTTGCTGGACTGCAATCCTGCTGGTACCACCGGCCTCCCTGCTACAGTCGTGGGAGTGGGAAAAGGTGCTTTGCTGTGGGGGTGGCTGGGTGGGCAAGAAGAAGAGACTGTGGGGCCACGGGGCAAAGCACATGACAGCAGCTTGTCAGAAATGGCAGCGAGAGAAAGCAAGTGTTTTCCTAAATAAGGCTATGTCTACGCTGCAGCTCTTTTCAGAAAAGCGGATGAGTTCTTTCACCATTCCTGTAAACCTCGTTGTATGAGGAAGAAGGGATGGGCTGAAAGAGTTTGTCCGCAATGCGGCATCATGTAGATGAGCCAAATTTCGGAAAAGCCTCTTCTAAAAGAAAAGCAGAAAAAGATAAAAAATTGTGTCTGACTTCTGTGTATATGTATGATATATTTACAAAACTATTTTTAAGAAGTAGCCTGAGGGAATATGTCTTTTGTGCAGGACTAATGAGATCTAAGGTCTTTGCTGGCGTGAATTAAAGAAATACCAGAAACAATGCAGAAG